TTATTTCCATCTGAAATAAATTCTTCAAAAAATCTGCGTTCAATCTGCATATCATTCAAACATCTCGTTAATTCGAACAAAATTCAGAAGCACCAAATTAGAGTAATGAAAAATATGAAAAGACTCTCTCTGCCTTTTATATCGTAACTCACCTACCAGAAGATCGAGCCCACCAGATTTCTGGACATCGAGAGGAACGGCGAGAGTTTGGACGTTCGATAGACAGATCTCGAGGATCGGTCGTAGTCGGTCGCCATAGCCGTCCACCTCGTAGAAGAAACCGAGAGGAAACTGGTTGCGTATTAATAACATTAGCTGCGAATAGAGAAAGGAAAGGAACGAAAGGCCCAGCCCACGTGTAATCAAAGACCCGCTTCCCTTTATCATTAATCAGCATTGCAAACAGTTTCATTAGGCTTTATTATTTTCTCGTGGGGTTATCTGCGACTCCTTAACAGCGTAACTTATGGCGTCCGACAGGCTGATTAGAATCGCCCCGGCCGCAATGTCTCCACGAGGCTGCTGCCATTTATCGTCAATGTCCTGGCTGCCAATCGGCGTGCTGCCCGATTGCCGCGATTCCCTCGTGTCCCCGTGACCCGTTCCGTCCGAGATCGCATGATTTTCCAGGCTCTGAAACGTGGTTCTACGAAACAGAAAATCACCAGAGTCTTTTGCACGTGCGCCAGAAAAAATTACGAAGTTCACCCGTGGTAGTCGACCTTAGCCGGGGTGTATAGCCGCCGTTTTAACTTCTTCGGAAACGAATTACCACGGTGGAACGTCGGTTAACCCCCTGCGACGGTATGACGCGCTTGCTGCGCGTACGCCGCGAGGTTGAATCGAGAATTTCAATTTCGAGACTAAATTCTAGATAAAAAGGGACTAGATAAAAAGATATACAAAATATCAATAATAATAATACGGACGTTATACTGTTCAGAAGATGAGATACACTTTCATTTACGTTGGAATTATTTTTCTGTGTCTGTGAGAATATGAATTTGCATAAATATTTGGTATCGTGAAGACGTGATGAGAGCGAAAGGAATAAGAATAATAGTTTGTTGGATTTCGAAGAAAATTATTGAGGATGGGAAACTCTCAGTTTGGTGATTCTATTTCTGTTCTAATAAGTAGACGTGTACCTCGAGTTTAGAATCCTATTCAATTTTTATTTTGGTTTCGTTATGACAGCGACTGTTACGAATTAAATTCCACTGAATCGTTTCATTGTCTCGTTCGTTTTAGAAAGGGTCAAGAAACAAACACAGGTTTATCAAAACATGTATAACGATTTATTGAGGAGCTATTCAAGCATGTTAAATTTCATGAAATGCAGGTACCTACCTATCTACTCACTAGCGTTACATTAGACGTGCATTTTACTCGCAAAACTGTACGATCTATTTCTTTCGAAGGAGAGTTGCGTAGAATTGCATTAGTTTCGCCGATGATTTATCCCCGTCTAGCACGATCGTGTCTACGGATCCTTAAATTCTAACTCGACGGGGGTACTCTGTACACGAAGTTCTCAAAATACGCGAAATTCTATCCATCGACGTGTCCTTTCGTTAATTTTTTACGTCGCTTTTCTCGATATTTAATTTCACTCGAGAGAGAGATTTTACTTTCTAACATTTGTTGAATTTAGACGTGGAAACGGAATTCTCTCGAAATATTTAGATAGACGACTGCGCGCGACCGTGCTAGACACTGGATTAAATCTACGTTTATAATCTGCCTACGTTAGTTTTGATTGCCAGTCTTCAATGCTCTGGTTTTGTCCTTATTATTCGTCGTTCGCATCTCTAGTCGCCCTTTGCGCACGCTCTGTCCGTCACCGAAGCCCAAAAAACGCCTCGAATTTCGAACGGTCGATTAAACTTTCGGATCCGAGAGGGTGCATGTACGATAAAAAAAGAATTTAGAGCCCGAGGTGGTTGGAAATGGCCACTGCAAACAGGAGAGATCGAGATTCACTTGTTCTACGATGGTATTGTTTATTTTTCTCATCGTTACTTCATGCTTGAATTTATTTACTACAAGTGCATCTCGCTTTCTCTAATTTTCACGATCACCGTCAACCACTCGTTACTCTATTATTTTTTTTTTTTTTTTTTTTTTTTTGGATAACAGAGCAACATTTCTCGTTTCTTTTTTAACGATACAAAAAGTCCGTTGTCTAATTATTACAAACTGGAGTAATTTTAGTCATGTGCAACGAGGAATCGGAGATGGGCAAAATTCTTGTGTAAGTAATAAACTTTTAGATCGCCAATGAGAGGCAGAGAGACTTCGATTTATTATTTTGTTCGATAGAGATTCCAATTCGAATTGTGAGATGAATTTATACTTTTTAAGTTTTACGAATTCGTTGCACGATATTTGAACAAAATTTTGCCCAACTCAATTTTTCCAATCAAGAGAAGTTACTCGAATGGAAAGCTAAAGTGGATGAACTAGGAAACGAAAAAGTTTCGTTACAGATGGGCTCTCGATTCTTCGTTGCACGCGATCGTTACTTAAGCTACTAGTCGGAGAATCTTACAAACTTAATTTACATAACCCATCCTTGTCATTATCGCGACGTCCAGGAGCTGATCTAGCATGAAGCAAACGAAGCATCGACTTTGGGGCCCTTTTCAGTTACTGATTTTTTTTTTATTTAAAGCATAGAAGAAATAATTCTTTTAACATTTTTCTAATGTTGTTTAGAACTGAATTCCACAAAGCATGAATTTTATCTTATTTTTCAAACAAAACAATTATTTCCAAGCTATTTATACCTTCGCGAATTAATTACAACGGACGTTCTTTCAGGAAATTTTCGAATTTGCCTGAAATAAAATATAATATTCTCCAGATTTGATATTAGTTAGAATAGCTTAACGCTCTTTTGGAAGAGATTTATTCATTTTACGAATCCTGTTGATGCTAAACGTCCGATACATTCGTTATACATTGTTCGAATAAAATCCTGCCCTCGTGATCAACGTCTTCGTCTCCTGATCAGCCTAAATCCGCCCCTGGCATCGCGATAACGAACCGTGTACGTTGCGTACATCTAAACCAGCGATCGAGGATATTTCATCTGGAAAGTTTAATCGTCATGTCTCACTTTTATTTTGTTTTGTCTAAGTGTACATGTGCGTGCGTGCGCACGTTGTATTTTCTTCTTCCCCCCGTGGTTTTCTTGTTTTTGATTCGGTGTTTCCACGATTTGATTATTTTTCGAAAGGTTATCGAGGCACGACTTCGCGCCGCTCGAGATTAGGCTGGAATCGACTACTACTTCCGTGAAGTTCGACTCTACGACGACAAGTGTGCATTATATCGACGAGTATCGATCGATCGTCGCGGTCTCGAGGCGGTATCCTTTTTCTAAGAGCGAGGAATGGCCAGTTTTTCTCGAAAGAAAATTACGCAATTGTTTTCGTGATATTTTAAAGAAAAAAAAAAAAAAAAACTGGTAGTTAACGTACTTGATAGATTTTTCCTAATGACCCTGTTTTCGATTAGCCACGAAAACAATTTCATAGATTCAAATTTCGAATTCAAGACTCCTGACTAATTTGTCGTTTATCATGGTTCGAGTATTAATTTTCACTTCGTATCAAATTGTATACATCTTCTATGAGAACGAATACATATCTAAGCGTAATTACGGATTAAAATACCTCGTGTCTCTTCACCGCATAAGAAACCGTAACTTATTTTCGCCTCGAAGAAAACGTATACCTCCTCGACCACAAATCCCGCGAAGTGTATTTTACATCTAATACCAGAGAACGCAAGGGCTTAAGACCAATTTCTTCGGTGTTCGACTCGTGTCGCGCGATTACGAAGCGATACCTCGAAGTCTCGGGCTACGATTTCGTTGCAGCCTGGTAAAACCTCGTGGTCGTATGGTTTCGAATACATTTCGCGATGCGCTTAACAATATCTCCGATAAGTATCAAAAAACACGGTGACACAATCTAAGCTTGAGACAGAATTAATCTTTTATTTTTTTTTTTTAATTTTTCACTGAAACCATCTTATACCGTATATTTCTTTTTTTTTTTTTCGTTTTTGTTTTTTTTCCCTTTTCGTTTTTTCGTTTACCGAGTAATTCGCCCCGATTGGTGTCTCAAAAAAGTGGTCTCCAGCACACCCGGTGCGTAGACACATCTACGACATGTGCACGATATACAATCTTTAAATATCGACATGCGATCGTGATCCGCGCGTTGATCGAAAGCGTACATCGAAGTAGTTCCGTGTTCGAATCCCTCTTTTCCCCTCGCGAAAAAAGGGGGGGGGGGGAGTGTATGTATGGCTCCTTTGCTTGTACGTTAAAAGTTACGAGCTAGTTTCGAAAAAACGCGAATTCCTTCTATCGCAAATCGATTTACAAGGACTACGTAGTTGTGAAAGACACGATTTAATCTACATATCAAAGGCTCGATTTCGATGGAAACGGGGCGTTTCTACGAATCATCGAGCGCGTTCGCGAGCTTCGCCACCAAAAACCGGTGCGATTTCCCGCGGACGTTATATACAATCGCGTAAGTGCGGAGTACCTCAGGGTATTTCATCGAATGTGGTCGCAATTTGGCCAGAAATAACGATTAATGTTCGTGTACGAATCTATCCCCATGTGACTTTGTTTCTTATTTATAATGTAATATAATATTATATATAATATGTATATATAATATGTACATATAATATGTATAATTATAACCGAACCAGTTTAACCCTTTATTTACCGTCAATTTTTTCACGGTACTGTATTAATTAAACGCTTTGAAATCTATTGTGACCTTCAAGTCCACTTTTATAAAGTTTACAAGCTTTTCGTCTTTTGAAAGCTTGTTAGAGACAACTCTATAAGATGATATAAGACCATAAGACGGACGCTAGACTAAAAACTTTTGAGAAATGCAGTAAATAAAGGGGAAGGTAACTCTTCGAGTATCTTGGTGACTCTAAGTAACTTTTTAATTCACCAGGTTGGACCATCCTGCTCGAAGAGGTAAGCAACTGTCAGGGTTTGGTTGGAGCTCGCTCAATTGGCCGTCGAAGGTCACCAAAAGTATTCCCTCCTCATTGCTACCACCTCCGCTCCATTTCCACATCTCTTCAGGTAAAAAGTTTTTCTCTTACGTAAAATTCTCGAGTGACTCGAGACCACAGAACCTAAATTTCTATGATCGATCGATAAAGTGCAGCTTCTCACTTTACAAGCAATGAAAGTAAACTCGTAAAAAAAAGCGTCTACACTTACGCACACTTCATGAAATACCCTGTGTCGAATTCGAATCCAAATGCAAATTTTGACCCACATTCGTGCAGAGTGTCTACGCGTTCGATCATTTCCCGCCGACCATAACGACCCCGTGTCCCCCGAAGTCGACCCCCTGGCTACACACCATACACGGAGAAAAAGGGTGATACAAAATCTATGTTCAATCGAAACCGACACACACAGATAGAGTAAACTGCGTTTAGTTATTAGTTTAATAGTGACCAGCAGTAGTTGCTTCCTTCTCGTTACGTAGATTAAACAGATATAGGCATCGACATGTAATAATCTTTTTTTTTTTCTCGTTCAATCGTCTTGTATCCCCTTTACAGCTCTTGCTATTTACAATCGAGTACACTGCCTTCGTGTTACGACGGCCCCTCGAGTCTTATCACGTGTTTTCTAGAAAGTATCGAGGAAAACCACCTCGAACCTCGCCGACAACGAGCGTGGGATCGATCGTTCGATCTCTCATTGTCATTGCCAGGGTGTGTGGGAATGTTTCTCACCCTCTTTTACTATTCGACTTTGTGTAAAACGTTCACGGAGAAAAATCTTGAAAAATATCGCGTTTCTTTGTCCCCTCGATTTTTCGATTCGATTAAAGCTCGCCAGGAAATCGTCGTCACCCGACCACGATGCTTTCCATTTCGCCCGTTTGGCCCTCTCGTTATATATTACAAAGGTGTGTGCTCTCGTATCGCTGTCCTCTGCCATTTTTAATAATAACGCCGCGTTACGACGAGCTTGTACTGTTTACAATTAATCATTTATTTATAAAAATTACACGGCGGAGATCAGCCTCTCTACTTCGTTTCCCTATGTCATCTACGAGTAGTCTCGTCACCTACGGTCGCGGTACAGGATAGTATAATACACGGATCCGCCTCGTCGCGAGCGGTTTTGTTATGATAAATACAGACTCGCGGAGGGCGACGACGATTTCCTGGCGGTTACGTCGCGATACCACGCTCCTATTGGCTGAAAAGTTCGAAGAAGTTGCTGGGAAGAGGAAGAGAAACATTAACGCGCCACGCACGGGGTGGGTTTGACTAATCGGTTCACCCTAGTTGTATTCGTGACCATTTGTTGCAGAAATTCTATGTTATCTTTTGAGAAAGAAATTATTTTCAGATTCTATTCGGTTTGTTTTTTAAATTGACACTGAAATTAAACAGTGGCTACGGGGCCAGTGGATATTCTCAAACCTCGGTGAACTTTTTTATAATTCTATGTATAAGCAGAGGAGGGTTGAGGGAAAGATTCCAAAACTGTTTAAGATTCTATCCTATATTAAATTTAGAGTGTCTGCTCGAAGATCGACGCAATTTCAACCAATTTCCTACTCCACTACCTTCTGACATTTCATTTAATTCGTTTGCTTCGAATTTAATTAATCGACTTGCCACCACGTGCGCGACGTACAGTTGTGTGTTCGTGCGTAGAAGGCATACGAGCATCCCTAAACGTTACTTTGGCCGTGAGTTTAGAGTGGTTGGAGCACGAGCGGACGATCGCCACGGCCGCCCGTCTCCGAGAGTACGCGCGCGTATGCGCTGAATAGAAACGTTCCTAAGCGTGTAACAGCGTCGACACGAAAGAACTTGTTTACACATACACGTCCGTGGAATATGTTATATGTATAATATGTAAAGGTTCTAGAAGAGTCCACACGCTTATCGTTTTACGTAGATGTAATCGCCCAGACGAAAGTTCGCTTTATGTACAGACGCCGCGCTAATCGTCGGCGTTCATCGAAAGGTTAGTTAATTAAACGCATACGAAGAGTTAGGGATCCGCCTTTAAAGCCCGGTTCTTTAACTCGTTTTCGTTAAGAGATACTGGTCGCGAACCGTGCGCAAGGAGTCCCAAAGTCGTTTTATGTGCAATGATCTTCTGTTTATGGGAACAATCGAGAATCAATTGGTCGCTCAAGGCCACTGGGCGCGGCTAATCCCGCCAGCAACGCCTGAGCGGGCGGGGCTATCCCTACCTCGACGTCAAGATGGGCGGACCTGTCGTGAGCGCGCTGCTACTCCATCTATCGACTTTCCACAGAACCATACAGAGGATTAAACAAGGAATTTCGCCTCGAGCTACCAGTTGATTTCGATTCCATAGCGACAAACTGTTGCAAATCGTATCTTGCTACGTTTTACGTAGTTGTGTTTCAGATTATCTTTGTTAAATTTTTGCAACAGAAAAATTGAGAGTGTAGACCCTGTACAGATGCATTTTATACCTGTTATCTATAGAGTGCGAGGTACTCCATCGCCTAAATCACAGTGAATAATCCTGATGTCGATCTCTTTAACGTAGTTCAGATCGCAGGAACCAGGAGGTCGGTCCAGGACCAGTTGAATTCCATTCGGTTACGTTCGTGTTCGAATGTTGTGAATGAAAAACGTGGGTGTGTGAAATCTACTCGTATCTGTTATCTCCGTTAACGCGAGGGACTCCGTCGGATGGATCGCTATTAGCGTATTTACAAAGTAGAAGACACCAAGAACAGGGGACACGCAGAGAACATTTAAATAGACGATCAGATTTGATCAACGATCGAGCACTCGCAATTTTTCGTTTAATTGTCGATACGACCGCGACTCTTTCGGACAGATCGTCGGTCGGTTTTCTCGGGAAATATTCAGTGAAATCCGAAATTGCGTTCGAGCGAAGGGGATTGCGTTTTTATTTAAATTCTTGCGAGTCTGGGGATCGGCGATTCGTCTATACCGGGCGGCTCGTCAGTCGACGAACGCGGGTTTCTCAACGGCGAGTTCTGCGAGTAAAACCATGCCATCGATACGTTAAAAAAAATATATCCTCGCGAGCGAAGAGGCTAAATCGGTCTTCTGCGTCAAGAAGTGCCGGATCGTCGAGCCTAATTTCTACGAATTACCATCTAATTCAATGTATTTCTTTCTTTCTTTTTTTTTTTTTGCGTTTTGTTTGTTATCGTTTATTTTTATATCGTAGTAAAAACGAGCCTCGCCCGACGCGAGAAGAACGATTCGACGAAAAGGAAAAATCGTGGCGGGCGAGCTTTTACGCGCAATGTTCGTCGAAGGTGTGTGTGTGTGTACATGTGTGTGTGTGTGTGTGTGTGTGTGTGTGTATGTAAGTTTTCGCTTAAAACCTAGCCCGAGAATGGAAGATTAGCGAAGGCGCAAACCTAGATTCAGGGTGGGGGGTGAAAAACCGCGCAAAGAACGAGTAAAACTTCCCATCTCGAGGCTCGTCTCGCGATTCCTAACCTAAAAAATACGTGCCCGCCCTCGAAACGTCGAGTTCGAGCTTAAGTACACTACCTACACGACTAAAACCTTAGAAACTTAATCGAGGTACCTAGTCTAACTATGTACAACAACGGTCGAGGGTTATCTTCTTTCCTTTCTTACGTCTGGTTAATCTACCATCGTCACTCGACCACCTCTATCTCACTCCTGGCTCTTTAATCCATTTTCTTCGTTTGTCTTTATCCGCTAATTGTGAAAAGGCTTCGGGCTACTTTCAAGGTACGCGAATTCTCGAGGTTACACGCTAATATTTACACGGTGTGTTAACCTTCTATTGCATGAATTTTATTTTACATTTTACAAAAGAAACGATTTGTTAGTCATACAAGGGATCGATCAACACTCTAAGTGAAGGTTTATCGTGTAAAACGTTGCTGGAAATGCTTTCATTCGGTTCACGATCGAGAAAAATTATCCGATACAAGGTTAACAATGAGCTCACCCAACGGTTCTCCTTTATACAGATTTTACACGCACGCGACCAAAATTTTCATTGCGAGTTACTTTCTCTGACACTTTTTCTACGATAGGAGCAAATTCGATCGGCCGCTCGAGCTCAGAGCGAGGGATCATCCCCGCCAAACTGTCCTATAGGTCCATGCGTCTCGCGTGACGCGGAAGGGGCGTGTCTGATGTCGGTAAGTGGGGGAAAGTGACCTCGAGCGGCCGGTTGAGCTCGTTCCGACTTCGAAACAAAGTCGGGCACTCGTTACTTTTGCAGTATCACCCGCGATTGTCGGGTGAAAAACTATTTTCGTAATTAGCAATCACGAATCAGCAACGATTAACTCACTTTTCTTTTGAATCAGTTTCTTGTAACCGATTTCTTAGTAATCCTAATCGTGGATTACGTCTTGCCCCCTCGCTGCTTCGAAGTTAGAGCCGAAGGACTGTTCGGGAAACTAGGGGAAACGTTCTTTTCAAAGAATCTTCGTTCCAAACGTACGAAGTGGAACGGGACTCGAGTGAATCGTGAAAGCAACCGAAAAGCAATGGATTCGATGGCGATCTCTTCGTCAACAGTGATAAACTGGCAGTGCTGATGCAAACTGTTTTGTCCAGGGAAGAACTACGATCGGTAGAGTCTTCTTTAGAATGAGATACGCTGTAAATCGTGGCACGTGCGAATGACATTAACCTTCCTCACCTCGCTTACGCTACTACGCGAAATCGTGGGAACTACGCGTATGAAAAATTGATGTTTCTGTACAAAACGGATGTGCTTCGCGCGATTCCGCGTTGATCGATTTAGTCAGATCGCTCTTGGGTTAGATATTTGGAAGTGTTATCGCTCGCCGATGGCGGAGACGCGCATTGCGCCATTTTAGTATTCCAGCATTCGCGTATTAAATATTCGTAAATATACTTGGATACTAACAAAATTCCACGATAATTAGAAACCGTTTATTTTACGTTTCGACTTGTTTAGAGACTTTTCCAGTGATTTAAAATGCTTGACGCAATACTTTCTAAAAAGACACACGATTCAAATATGCTTACAACAGAACCCCACTGAAATCCTAATATCTCCAAAGGGAAACACGTTCGTACTACCATTACAGCCGACTAGTAAACAAATTTTGCGAAAGGATGCGTTCCCAGCATTCGATAAACATTCCGTTTACGACGGAAACAGAGTTACGACTGTCCGAGGAATTTTTTCAGACGACGTTTCGGGAGCGAAGCGATCCCTAGTTGCGTAAAATGGTGCATCGCGCGACTTCCCAGGGAAAATAGCGCCGGTCGGTTTGTTTTCAGTCCTTGACACGGCGCAGAAGCACGTGCGTTTTATTGCCCGCCGCTAGCGTTTTTTTTTCACGTCGAAGTTGCGAACAAATCACGACCTTTCGCGCGGTGACGAAACGATTGCGACACCCACACGCGTATTCCGTTTTCATTCGCGTTACGCGCGCGGTTTACGGCTCGCCATAAACGCGACGACTTCGCGACATTTATGCGCGCGACGACTCCTTTTTCTGCGACGTCTATGCGGAGCAGAGACGGACGACATTTTTGTCTAAATACAAATTGCCAATCACGAATAAATTACTGACGATTTCTGGCACGTGGTATCTCGGTGTAGGGTGACAGAATTTTTTGGGACTCTCTTCGTAAGAGAAGTAGGTTGGTGGCTCGTCGGGGGATTTTAGCAGACCTCTTCGATAATGGAAAATTTATAGCGACCCTCGTCTGTGTATAAGATAGATTCAAAGGACGCCTTCGGTAAAAGACGACGTTGAACAAATCTGTTTAACGAAGATCCAATTTCAGGGGTCTTCGCGACGAAGGAAGTATAGCGAATTTTATTTGTACAGTCTTGAAGAAAATTCCTGCCCATCACTGATCTAGACTCCAAGGCTGGACCATCGATTGGGAATCGGAACGAAGCACTGCATTTACATTTCGATCTGAGACTCTACGACCAACGATTTTCCAAATTAACACATTGTTTTGTTGTCATTTTTGAAACATACTTTCGATTGCATCGAATGTTCCAAGGAATTCTTTGTTTTTAGATCAGTGATTCTTAGAACCTTTTTATGAAGCTAAACTTACATTTTTCATAGAATTCACAATTATTAATGATGGTTAATAACGTCAGACTTCTCTTCTCCTGAACGGCGAGCTCCGAGATATTAGAAATGTTTCTAGACCAATACTTAAATTTAATCTACAGCGTATTCAAAGGTTCGTTAAACTGCATCGATTTATTCGGTCGCAAGACATCCTCGAAGACCGACACCGAAGTCTTGAACACAGGCTGTTCAACATTCGACCCGAACGAAGTTCCTCATTTTTATTCATAGAAAAAGAGTTTTGTCCGCGACTTTTCGCGCCACGGTTACGTCTTACATTTTTGTATCTATTTGGTTGTGGATAGCAAACCGAAAAAAAAAAAATGAAATTCCAACCACAAATTCTAGAACTTTGGAACAATATTTTGCTAAAGGCTCGAGAATCACCGAACCGGATCATTCAATTTATACCCAGATCCGAATTTTGACGTTCATCTGATTCCAATATTCCCAGAAGAGTGAATTTTCATCCGCGAAGTAAATCTCGACACAGTCGCGGGGTCCCAGAGGCGATATATAGATCCTATCTCGTGAATCGTGCCCGTACTATCGATTACTTGCGCTTAACCGGTTACATCCTGTGTATATATCGTCTATGCTAAGTGTTACGCTTAAGTTGAACCGACGTGTGTGTATCCGTAAACGCAATATATTAAGGCCTCTTAGTTACTAACGACAGGTCGTCACGTTTTCTTCTGTCGCGGTTGTCCCGCGATCGAATCGATTTCACCGTACAGGCGAAACACGAGAGATGCTTGGCTCCTGGATTAAAAAGTCGACGAACAACGGGAATAACGACTCTTGCCTCGTTGCTTGGCCGATCGGTGTGTGCGTGTGTGAATCGTAAACGAATCGATAAAAAAAAAAAAAGAAATTAAACAGGATAGGTAGACATTAGGGGCTAAAATTTGGGGCCACAATCGAGACCGAGAGGAAATCCTAATAAGCGCGATGTCGAGGGTTGGCTTTTGATGTACGGTCGGAATTAAAGCGTTAATTGTACAGACACCTTGTTAGCAACTTAATCTGTCCCCTTGCTTAACGTAATTTCATATGTCTATATAGGTGCAATTATATAAGCTTGTATTAGTTTTGTAGGCAAAATGGAAGGTCCATTAGATTGTTAGACGTGATTTCTACTCGTTAAGCAGGATACATCATTGGTGGAAATAGCAATACCAAGGCAGGCAATTTACAAATGAATCAGCGGTTTGTAATCTTTCAGAGCTAATCTCGTCTGATTATCTGATAATCGATTACCGTTCACGGTTGTTCGTGTTGTAATGTAAAAAGAGGAAAGAATATTTATCTAGAACTGGCCTTATTTAAGAAGTAGAGATCGCTCGTGGGGCGCGCATTTATTGGGACGCTTTTCTTGGTTTCAACCCCTTGTGACCCCCCTTTTTAGACTCACCTGGTGCAACGGAGAATTTGGAGAGACTCGCTGTGTGATTTTATTGACACTTTCCAATTAATACCATTGGATACTCGTCTTGAACTCGATACCTAGACGTAAACTTAACCATTCCGACTGATAAAACGTTCTAACTTGATCCCAGAAGAGAACGACTTTCACCCTTCTACTCGCAAGTCTCTCCAAAGAGAAAAAAAAAAAGAACTAAACGTGCACAAAAGAACACAGAAAACGCATAACACGGGGATGGCGGTGTGTCTTTCGACGTGCGGGCGTGAACCTGAAAGGAAACGTTTCGGACAAAGAGTTGTGGGGGGGGGGGGGGAGGACAAAGGAAAAGTGAAGAAAAAATAAAAGAAAAAAAGGGTCGAGGGAAGAGCGAGGGTGACGGTAAACGATGTGCCAAATCTGGAGACCAGAGGAAAAAAAAAAACAAGCACCGTTTGCAGTCGTCTCCGTGCTTTCTTCTTCTCGTGGTTTCTCTTTTTTTTTCCTATTCTTTTTTTCGTTTACTCTCTCTCTCTCTCTCTCTCTCGATCCGTAGCAACTTTATTTGTTTCGGTGCATCTCGTGCCAGCCACTTTCCATAATGAAGGCATATTCGCTAGTGTGGAGTATACGTGGAGTTTTTTTTATTTTTTTGTTTTTGTTTGATTGTTTGTCTTGTCGCTTAATTACTCGTTATCTATAGGTAACTTACGACTTATATGCATTATATCACCTAGACTTCCGGTATTGTTTCCGTCTTTGTTCGAGGCTCTCTGTCGAGAGATACCAACGCTGACGCACGCGATAAGTTTCAAACGCGTATATATCCGAAGAACAAAATGCCTGCGTATACACCGCGCGTGTGCCTTTGTGTATTTTCACGTGTATGAGTGTGTGTGTTTGTGAATGTGTAAGCGCGACGTAGAGAGAGGTTCACCCCCTACTCTGTATTTATGATTTTTCATTTTTTTTTTTTTGTTTTGCTTTGTTTACCACTTTTTCGTCTCGTCTCGTATCTCGAGACGGTACTCGTTAAATGCCCAACTGACCAGCTACAGTGAGCTACGTATTTACATATCTTCCCGTTAAGTAATCATCTACGTATTAATTCTGTATGTGTCTGTGTGTGTTTGTGTTCATTTTTTTTTTTTTCATCGTTTAATAGGAAACATTAATTTTCACGCATACGTACATTATTCCCTCGCACACTCGCACGCCGCGCATTCGCACTGTTTCGTTTTTTGTTTGTTTTTTTTTCTCTTTTTCTTTAAAAGGATCTCTCTTCTCTCTTTTCATCTCCACGCTTCCTCCCGGGGGGATTAATTAAATTGCGAATTCGGATCGCCGCGAAACTTGCACCGGAATCGAAGAGTTCTTCTTCCAGGACTTATCTTTGGGGAAAAGGGGCAACGAACGAGTTTCTTTTCTGGCTTGATTCGCTTCGTTTTTCGTCGGACTCGACGAGCTTGGGACGAAAGTTTCGGGGCGCTCGCGAGAGGCTCTGAACGATTAAAAACGTCGTAATTCGAAACGTAAAATAAAACGCGACAGGCCTTTCGCGAAGTTCGACAGTGGGTGGGAGGAGGGGGATTTATTTAAAATGGAATAAAAAGAAAAACGAACCGTGTAAAAGTGGCGAAATGTAGGGTCGGTCCATAAAATCGTGCGTCCATTTGATTCGGCGTGTCTCTGAGTTCGCGGAACATGGTTGGAAAATTGTTTATAGCTGTTTCAACTCTGTACAATTTTCTCTGACCAAGTTTTTGAAACCCATTAAGTACCGGTGTCCTATGCAGAGGACTTTCCAATTGTTTTTTAAACGGTGTTGGAATTTATTGGAATACCGCGTGATTTTTAGGGTGTAGATTTGGGACTCGAACACAGTGCACTGTAACTTTTTGCAACCTTATTAATAATGTACTACGAATACAAAAATATCGTATTCAGCAGAAGTTCGTTCGACCTTTCTGGTCCTACGTTATTAAGACTACGTCGAGTTATACTTAAAAAAATGTTTGTATAAACCTACTTCTAAGTGCTAAAGTTCTACTTATAGTACAAGCCATAACATTAAGAAATGAATTTCTAACATATAGTACATTGAAAAACAATAACGTAGTACTTAATGGGTTAAGGAAAAATTTCGTTGAATATTATCGATCGATACCAACTACATCTATACACTTATCGCGTTAATTAATATAAACATGTTTTCTAATGCCTTCGAACATACAAGAATCCTAGCGAAAGGCTAAGCTGGACCCTTACGCTATCGCGAAAACGAAACCCTACGATCCGCTATGAATTAAAACTCAATCAATAATTAAAGTTGTACAACGTCGTTTCGTTTTCACAAAAATTGCGCACGAATCTATGGACAGTCCCCAAGTACAAATGCAAGTTCAATCTCGAGTCAACGACTTTGCGTTCTTTTCGAACGATTCCTTCTACAACGAAGCAACGAGATCATTAAAATCATGGGAAAGTCCTGAAGGAACACCTTCGTTCGTCCAAGTTTCTAGGACCCGGTGGAACATGTCGGATTCTCGCGGCGTCTGACGCTGGACGATCACGTTTGACGTCGTTTGACAAAGAAAAAAAAAAAAAAAAAATGCGATCCAACGGTTTCGGAGAAGTTTTCCTATTAAGTGTTCCCGGCTGAAAGGATCGCGGCGTGTCCTGCGATCAGACGCGACGGGAATTCCGGGCGTGGTGCGGTATGCGCTTTTGCGGTGATTCGATTCATGAGCTACTAAAAGTTTATGTACACGGTGAACGCGCTGATGACCTATTTACAAATGACGAGAGAAGCGCTCTTTCGCTCGAGACCGACTCGTTACATGGTTAATTACAAGAGGTACCCCGACGAAGGGAGCCGCGAGCTCGAACAATCGCTAAGAATCTACGTTGCTGCTCGAAAGCCCGAGGATGTGTATTTTTTCTAACAAAACTCGGTAGGAATTTTAATCTTCCGATACCTAAGACGATAGGTACACGTTCGATGATTGGGCGAGGTGCCAGGTACTTGGCAACAAAATGATCGATACGATTTTGTTTAACGTGTTCGAGATGCATTTGAAACCGTCGCGGCATTGATTAATTTGTGGATAGCTGAAACCTCGGTTAAGTTGTCTGAAACGCACGTTACTCTAACCATCGACTTATCGAATAAGAAAATATTCTCCTGAAAAACACGATCGTCCCGAGGCGTCCGAGCGGTAGTGTGCGTCTACTAAACATATCAGGGTGTATTCACAAAAGACGATCGTCCTCGCGACGAACTCCCTTCGGAGTCCTCGAATCGAACAAACAAACAAAAAATGATCTACGGATCCTTCGAAAAATCAGTTCGATTCTGTCCCCTCTCTTTCCCTCGAAAGTCTGTCTTTTTCCCTCCGCCTCGACGCGATACGCTAAAAAGTACTTAAACGATTACATTGTTATCGATCCTCGCAACGGGATCCTTAGTAGAAATTAGTCTGCGTAAAAAAGAGAACACATGTCTGCCTCTGTGGGTGTGTGCCTTGTGTTTACGGTTCATTTACAAAATCAAAAGTATCCGCTACAGCTAAATATCGCTACCTAAGGGGGCCATTGAGCGATCCCCGCGAGCTACTGGCTACCTAAGTTCCTTAAACTAAAATCACACTCAGAACGTAACTAATGGGTACCCGTGCGTCCTTCGTTTGGCCTGGGAGTTGCGTCTGAATCGAAATAAACGGGAAAGGAAACGTTCACCTGAAACGGTGATGGTCGCTCGACGATAGTTCATCGTCCCCCGAAGGAAGGACGCGCCATCGGGATCGTGGGACGTTCGTTCAAACGCAAAACAGGATCGAAGGAAGGAAAGTTCGCGATCGTTGGGCCTGGATAGCCAAAACCAAGGATCTCGCACGGAAGCACTTTTACGCACTCAAACTATAAACGTAGAATAGCTATTTACGCGAGGAGGGTACTCGGAGACCCTATGCTCTCGAGGATACGAGCGTAGTTTTCTTAATTAACGAAACGAATCGCGCGATCTACGACCGTGCGAGAGTTCTGGGGATCCACGCGACTCTTGAGCATTCCTGGACAGAAGCTTCCTGAAAGATAGCTAGAGAAGTCGGTCGATCGCGATCCAAGGCGGATCGAGTCCTGTTCGAGTCGACGTTTCCGCCGCGATGTCTCCGCGATTGGAGCGTCTCTCTACCGAAAACTCAGAACAGGACAGAAGTTCGCTAATCAAACTAAACGCGACGCAGAATAAGTTGTTCCGCTCGAGTCGACCGACTCACAGGGGTCGCAGACGTAACCTTTCATCGAGTCGCGACGACAGGGCCATTTGACGTGGCTACGAGGGTGCAACAACCCCGATTCGCGGTTATCGTTCGAACAGAGACATCGTTACGTCTGTTACCCTTGCCAGGAGGGCTAGCAATCTGTTCAGCCAACCCTGAAGAACTCGAATCGAATCTAGGCTCCCTCCGAGGTCGGTCTTTACAACCGACTAATCCTCGCAGCGAAGATTGGCGTTGAAAACCGCGAAAGTCCTCGAGGGATCGCGATTCTCGACTCCTTGGAGATCCTGGCAGGACTTGTCCTCGAAGTTAGGAGCTCCTCGCGCGTCCTTGTGTCTTCTGTTCCGGTCGGCTTCTTTCTTGGACGAAGAATCGGATTGCAGAACGTTCCCGACAATAAAATCTAGAGGGGAGGAAAGGGGCTCAACTTGTGCCCTCTCGTTCGCTATTTTGGTCCAGGCGTAAGCGAAACAATCGACTCAGGAGTCGAGTGCAATTCTATAGAGGTTCCTGGAACCTTTCGCTCTGGTCTAGTCGATTTTTTCGCTTGCTTAGGAAGCTAGTATCTACTTTTCTTCGCGTGCGAGTTTAGTTGTGAACTGCCATTTCACTACAAAGGCATACGAGAACATAGTGAACCACTCCTCGATTACATGACAATGTTTCCAGATCTCTTCGCGCAATTGAAAGTAGATAGTTTATCTATAAGAAAACCTAACTCGTCTCCATTTTATTTTGGACCGTTCTTGCTGGATGGTGAAGAATCCATTCGAATATTAAATGTAGATGCTCGATGAGTTTAGAGATCCCTTATTCAGTGGACTTCGTTAATAATAGAAAAAATAGTACAGTTCCCAGAGGTGAAATTTTTCAAGAAGACTGTTGTCGAATTTACTGAATAAATACATGAAAAGAATGGAAATGATCGCTATCAAGTAAAAGGCTGTGATTGGAAACAAAACAGATATTTGATATTTGAAAATTGCGACGATGTTCGTACGTACATTGCACTACTCATTAAATTTAAGTGGTGTTAGGTCCGATAGATTCACATACACATCTTCTACGTTTCTTCAACAACGAGTTTCACGATATTATTCAAGCAAAAAAAGATTATATCGTAGTTCAATATTTACACACTTTCTTTTAACTCTATGTACATAGTATATATATATATATAAGTTTCCATACGTTTTTATTTGAATGACTCGATAGAGTTTCCATTGCAAATATCGTCGTAATTCTCAGGTATCAAAAATCCAATTTAGTCTTAATCGCAGGTCTCGGTTTTGAAGTGATCAGCAGACTTATGAATTTATTCGATAAATTCAACTGTAGCAGATCCTAAAGATGACTCTACAAAAACATGATAACATCTTGTTTAAGACGTACAAGTAATCACACCTCGCACATATACCAAATCGTCCATGAATTGCACCTCTAAGTTTTTCTGCTCTACACTCAACGTTTCCCTCGTCTTCTGTTATCCAGCAAAAACACGTTAAAATCGAATAGGAGAAGGGGTACAGGTTCTTCCTAAAAGAGGGGGTCCGCGGCCGCCTTCCTCCCGACGCGTGAAAAATCTAAAAAGAAAACAAAAAAAAAAGGAAGAAAAAAAAAATAAGACTGGCCCGTCTCTTCGACGCTCCCTTACAGACTAAACACGCTCTCCTCTCGCTTTCGTCTCCCCCTGGTTCGGTATCCGACACCCCGTTTTCGGTTCGGTCGGTGAACACTCTCGAACCCCCAAGAAAAATGATACCGATCGCTTGTGATCGGCTGCTCCCTCGTCGATAATTGGCTACTCGTGTGTCCTTCCTCCTAGGCTCCCTCTGTCTCTCTCTCTCCCTCGTATGTATACAGCGTTATGTATAATAATATATATATATAGTATAGAGATATCTATATACATACACGTCTATGTATATATATATATGTATATATCGGCTAGTCGAAAATTGAGGCTACAGTGCTCGGCAGTCTATTGTCTCTCTTGGCTCTTCTCCTGCGTTTCCTTTTCTTCTCATCCTTGCCCACCCCCAGACCCAACTTCTCATCGCTTCCTTCCTCGTGGATCCTTTTTCTACGCTCTATCTTTATCTCCCCCTCTGTCTCACTCTCTTTCTATCGTTTATTCTCCCGGGTTACGATTTCGCTCTTCCGTTGGTTGTGCGCGATTCTCTGTGTCTGTGTGTGAGTCTGTCTCTCGTTATTACATCTCTCTTTCTCTGTCTCAAAAATCCATCGAGAGTTCGCGATTTTCGCAGAAGATTTTTATTCCCATTGGTGAGGAGAGGGTGGCAATTCCGAGGGATGAGCCACCGTGGAGCTGCAAGTCGTACGAAGAGATCATTAGAGGCTGTCATTCACAGAGAAAAGATCTGGATTTTTTTTTTTTTGTTTCCGTCTTTTCTTTTCGGTATTTATTTATGTATTTATTTATTTTTTGTTTTTTTTTTTTGTTTTAGTTACTTTTAGTTTGGTTTTTGGTCTTAACTCGGGACGTGTACATTTTCAGTGTGACTTGCGGGGAGAAACAGAGGCGTGTGAGCTACGGTTCGAATCTCCGATGAGTTCTTGGCGAAACACGTGGAGACCAGAGGGACTCGGTAAAGCTTCCGGGAGAACGTGTCCCGGCGATTGCGGTCGACTGTCGCGACTTCCGGTTGGGTTTACCGAGCCCCTCGGTCACGGTGTCCTCGAGCCGGGATCGACGAGGATCGATTTCGTTCCAAGTTACACTCGGGCGAGGTTATTTCTCAACCCTTCGATTCCCATGGGGTACCTACAGGTCTTCCATGTGGGACGAAAGAGTTAGAAGATTGGAGGATTTAACACTAAAACTACCGACGCTCGAATCGTACTCCTTATACGCTGTATCTTTGAAAATAGAGACTGGGAGGGCGAATCAATTAATATACACGTACCTAGTCCACTAATTTTCATCACAAATTGCAACGGAGGCGTTGGTAACACTAAACCTCGATATCGGATACTATTTTCAATGGAATGCAAAAATATTTCACGCGTAACTAAATCAAATGATACGTGAAACAATTGTGTATAATTTATACGTGCTACTCAAAAATTGCATTCATAATTTCGAAAATTTAGGCAGATTCAATGTTTAAAATTCAGTACCTTTAAAAAGACCATCGAAAATGCCTGAGCCTGGTAGTTCTAGTGTTAATAAACGATAGATCCTCTCAGCTTTGGCTCGATTATTCTCTGTCTCTGTACAGATACCAATTGTGAAAATTGTATCGAGCCGCAACCATGGGAATCGGATGGTTGTAGAGCGGTTAATGGGGCTCCGTGGATCACTGGCTCGACGACACGCGTGGGAGGAGGGTTCGGAGATTCGAACTTGCAAGAACTGTACACGACGAAAGTGCAAAGTGCTCCTCGCTATCGGTATGGTTTTTCACGCGGGCAAAACCGTCGAGATATAAAGCATTTCGTCTCGCACTTGGAGTTTCGTCGGCTAACGATCTGGGCAGAGGAAGGGTGGTGATACAGCATCGTCAACGAGTGGCAGTGCGTCTCGAGAGTGTCGAGTACAATCGATGGGAGGAAGGCAACGGGCAAAAATCCGCGGATAACCAGGGACTTGAAACCAAAATTACACGGCTCATTTTTTTTTTTTGTTAATAAATTTATCGTTCGTTTCTCGGTTAATGCAGGCGGAAAATTTAACGCGAGAAAGTAATATTTATTTTGTTTACAAGTGTCATATTCTGGGCATTCGTAACATTGGAAATTAATGCATGTGGAACATTTAACGCGAGAAAGTGACATTTTCTTTAAAAATATCATTTATTTGAGCATCTATCCTTATTCCGAAGAATTATAAAGAGGCTTCTATAAACATTTCGACCAGGGAAAATCATAGTAACGCGAGGGGTGAATTATTTTTCTCAACCTCGGTCTGAAACAATTCTAGACTAAAACAATTACGTAAATTATTCTTGAATATATATATATAAAGGCTAGCAAAATGTTACAGTGCACTGTATACAGCACTCGAGTAGTAATAAATTGTCGAGTACCAAAAGAACCATTTTAATTTAATTTCCCACCAATAGGACCATTTTACAGTACCATTGTTCCGGTGTTTCGGTTGTCAGTCCCTGGTTAGAACGTTAAATCGAAGGCAAAATACATTCCTGCGGCCCAGACAAATCGAAAATTAGCCGAGTTGACTATTATCGGCAGGATGGCCAATTGGCAAGCTACTAGCAAATTCTACGGGGGCCCACAAGCCATGGCAAGGATCGATTGTCATGGGTCGATCGTTGCGTATGTACTCTACTTTGCGTTTCGCTGACGTTTCTCTATGGCCATAAGAAGGTATCGAGTGGTCCCTCAAGGCTAATTAAATCTTAATTTTAATAAAAGATAAACGAATAACATGGGCATTTTTTTGCGAAGTATATCACGTTTAACGGTTAAATTCTATTTTTCATTCGGTTCATTCTTCGATCAAAGAAGTGGCTTTGAGCGACCAGCTGATTCCCAAGCGACTATAATCGCGACTATCTCGAAGCTGCTAGCGTTCGCACGATTAGCTCGATTCTCGAACAATGAAACGCTCTGCGTTCTCGTGACGAGCGATTCGAAGAGTCGAGCTACAGCTGGAACGAAGAAAGAATCGACTCGAGGCAGGGGAAGTTTCACTAGCGACTTTTCTTGGAAAGAAATAAAAGCAACGGTCACTATATCGCACCAAAAACGACTCGAACAAAGAAGGCTACATAAATTGAAATTAAATCCAATTTATCGACAGAAACAAAACATTCACGTCGTTAAATAAAATGCTCTACTCAACTGCGAGCCAAACATCGATCAATTAGGAAGCATGGTTCAGATTTGAACGTTACTCGCGAGATGCTCGTGCTCGTCGCTGAGTCCCTCGCGACAGAGGGTAATTATTCTCTATTCGAACGAGTGGTGGGTGGTCGCACAAGTCGATTCATTCTTCGTTCCGACTATAAACATTCCACTCGGAATGGGTTCGCGGTGGCGTCACCTCGACTCTTCAAATTCCACGTTGCCGGGAAAAACGACAACGGAAGGGGTTTGACCGACAGGTCTGGTAGTTAACAAAACAACAACAAAAAGATACAAAAACAAAAACGTTTCGTCTGATTTCCATGCAGCTGTCAGCATGTGTGACAGCCAGCCGTTCATCTTGATTATCGTTTCACTACGTATTCGTTTCTTCGTTTCTTTTTTTTTGGATTTTCTAGTTCGATCAAACTTTCGAAAGGTGTTTTACGGATCAACATCTCTCTCTTTCCCTGTTGTTTCGTCGCGTCCCTATCACGCTTCCGCTTTTATCTTCCGTTCGAGAAGGCGGTCGAATTGATCCAAAACGAAGTCGTTCTCGGGGGAATTAATTCCGAGGAGATGATCGCAAGGCCTAACTTTTCCTTTCGTTTAGTGTTTCTTTTATGTATCTTCAAGAATGAGAAAATAATATGTTGGGTATCTGTACGTGTGTTAGAAACGGCGCCGCATGAGATTCATATTAAGGGTTTGCTTTTATGAAGATGAATTTTTCGTGTTGGTGTTTGCAACGATACACGAGGCCATTTTTAACACGCGTGTATGTAATTGAAAAAACATTTTCTTAGCCTCTAGGATACGTATGAACGCTATGCAAAAGGAAAAGTCAGGAATAGTAGTCATTTCCTCGGAATTAATTTACAAAAGGAGCTTCACTTTGGAGCAAAGCGAATGCCTAGTTCGTTAAAGTCGGTCTCCCTCTCGACGTTATACAGGGTGTATCATGACACGTGGGAGCTCCTTCGGTGATCAGTTGGAGGCACAACTAAGCATAAAAAAGTCTGTGTTGCTGAAAAACCTTGACAGAGCCCCCCAAATTAATCTCAAAAATTGTACCTCGTTAAGTTATTCTATTCAATTGCAACTTTGACCTCGGAAGTTACATTGCCACGTTTCTGAATAAGTATTACAAACACTGAAAACTCTATACAAACATATACGTTACATTCGTAACATATTCATTTTAACACGTTAACTGCCAAACGAATATTCTTCAAAATTTCTCCTAAGATCAAATATTATTTAGACTATTGGAGTCTACAGAATGAAACATTTATCGTGGTATTTATTTTTGCAACTACATCAAAATTCATAAATTTCATTTAAATTCATCTCCTTTGACGTGTAACTTTCGGAATTATTCTTTTTAGTTCTTGAGTGAAAAAAACACTGATCCATACATGATTGATACGACGATCAACGTGTTAATTTATTAAAAAATGCCTACAAGATCTTCCTCCACTCGTTTATTTACAACCCCCTCTTCGAACTCCTCAAAATTGTCCTGTTGTTCTCGCGTCTCTTCAACAACATGGCTGCCACAGGTTATGATACATCCTGTATTCTCCGGACGGCCTTCGCCTTTGCTTCGCCAAGTTCGCGCGAAAAGCCAGCCGCGAAAATAGCGCGACGGAAACAAACCGACCGAAAAAGGAGCGTCTCGTTCTCTTTTTTCGCCTCCACCCTCTACGCTGTCCTCGGGTGTCTCGACGTCAACCCTCCCTCCCTCCCTTCCCCGCCACGGCCGCGAACCGTCGAAATTATTTCTGGACTTTGAAAAAGCGGCCCGGTCGCGAGTCGAGCCCCTGCCGCCCCTTCGCCTCGAGGAATGCGGGACAAAAGCGCCGCTCGTGTCGTTACCCCGCGGTTAATTTCAACGCGAATGTTTTTCGAGGGATTCGTTCCTCTTTCGCGACAGAACACCCCGTCGACGACGAGAACTAACGCGACGGGAGGAGAGGAAAAATATTGGAAGAACGGGACTACAAAAATCTCTGGTTGGAAGCTTTGGTCGGCTTGAACGTTGTCGGGCAGGGTTTATTCTACTTGGAATCATTGTAGGAGCGGACTACTCGTATGGTCCCACTGTTCTAGGAAGTAATCACGCTTCAGATAATAGTAAGTTAGGCACGTGGCGAAAATATTAGGAAATCAAATGGAAAACAATAGCTTCGATCGCGGTACTTGATTTATTTTTGCGTGGAAACGTGATTCATTGCACTTCCAGTAGAAAATTATTAATAAAAAAAAAAAATAAAAAAGGAAAGAAAGAAATAATCGAGGAGTCGGTGAGGGCGGATTCGTCGATGGATAAAAGATAGGCACCGCTGTTAATTATCGCGAGACGTTCGTTCGACCATGATCCGAGGGTGGACGTTAAAAAAGGGGACGCGGAAGTGTCGATCTACCCCTAACACATCGCGAAAGAGACCACATTTCCAACGTTCCCCCACTGTCGGGCAAACTGTAATCCACGATTACGATTATCGCGCACGATCATCCCATAATCATGATTACACTCGTGTCGCATTATCGTCACGTTTACTACGACCATGATTAATGGTTAACCGATAGCCAGCAATCACGATCCACGAATAATCAGAGAATTATCAGACCGGGCTCCGAAAGATTACAAATTACCGAGCCGGTTGCAAACGCAGTCTATGATTACCGATCGATCCGGACAATCGCGATCGATTATTAAGAAAGTAATCGCCGATCCCCCCCTCCCCACCCCCCGCGCAACCCTCGTGTCTCTTTCTCACACCTCGATCGTTGTCTTTCGATTGATTCGCGACGCGGTCGTTGTTTTCTCTTTTGTTCGGGAGCTCGTTTCTCCCAACTGAAGGCTGCATGGTTCATCAGGCCTTCTTAACACTCGTGTCGGCCAAAGCGCTCTTTTCAGGCGTTCTTTCAGCGTTATTTACAAGTACCACTTTCACAGAGGCTCGTGATCGACGCACGCACACCAGCGACGAGCCGACAGGGATGACACGGTTATCGACTATTCGCGTTTCTCGATCGCTCGAGGCCACCGAGACGTTCCCTCGAGAATCGAAAACAGGATGCGCCTACTCCAAGTAACGATCAGATGCTCCTCGAGACTCGTCGAAGGTCCCTAGATTTCGACTTCTTTCTTAACTTTATGCTCCGACGAGGATCGTACCTATCGCTTAGAGAATAACGGAACAAAAGCAACGATAATCGCAATTTACTTAGAGACGATTGTTTCTAATACGAACAATTTTCGGGGGTAACTTGTACCGCGGTACGTGTTTCGCGAGAAGCCCTAAGGGAAGCAGTGTCGTGCTATTTGTCGTTTCTTAAAGAAAAGTGTAACTTGGTTGACCACGTAGTGGTCAAACCCATATCTCGAGTACCGAAATTCCTCCAGCTAAGAAATCGGATACTTTGAGATCTTTCGTCTGAGAAATCAGGAAACACCGATCCCTCGGCTGAAAAACGATTCTAAATCATCGATCAGTCAACCTGTGGACCTTCGAGGAGTACGTCGTTAAGAAAGTAGAATTTCGATCGCTCGTTAAATCCCAATTTTCCGAATCAACTAAGTTCCCTCTGCCAAAATCGTGTCGTGTCCCTGATTGAAAAATTGCGAAGCAGACTCGGCGCTGGGATCCTGCTGCCACGAGTAATTCATCAGACACACACGCACGCATACATATACACGTAACGTCTACTGATAAAGCCATCGAATTCTCGTCCCATATGCGTATGTATATGCATGCATGCACGTGTGTGTGTGTGTGTGTGTGTGTGTGTGTGTGTGTGTGTGTGTGTG